TTCGAGCTTATTGCTCGTACTATGTAGCAGCTTTTGTCCAGCGTTCCTCCTGTCTTAACAGTAGGTGCGCATATCTGACAAGCTTACACTTGCTTCTTTACCTTCTTCCTGTCACTACGCGCCCTAACCTCCTTTAGAGCTGTTAAGCGCAGGCTTTTCTAAATGTAGCTGCCTTATTAGCTGCTTAAAGCTTAGTAATTTCCTATTACGCTAACACTAGCTTATGTACAATTATTGCTATCCTTTTTAAGGCTTTTTTTCTAGAGACATTACCCTCATATAACCCTCTCTATACGTAGAGCTACTTGTAACACAACTAATATCTACTAGGGATTGCTGCCTGCTGCTGTAATCTACTGCAGTTTGCTGCAATTTGCTATATTTTGCTGTAATTTGCCGTAGTTTGCCGTAATTTGCTATAGTTTGCTGCAATTTGCTGTAGTTTGCTGCAATTTGCTGTAGTTTGCTGCAATTTGCTGCAATTTGCTGTATGCATTTCTTAACGCTAGTAGGTAATCTCTTACTAACATCTCTAGGCATCAGCCTATTATATTTAAACAGTAGTTAAAGAAGCTAAACTAGCGGTTATGTAAGTAAAACAACTTGTTAAGGTATTACATGTACTGTTAGAACAGAGCTCTGTACCACTACGCTAATACAACTAAAAAGGTGCGAATAATTAACTAACAGTTAATTATTGCGTACAGAATAGTATATATACCTGTTGCACGTAAGCACTATCTTAGCCTTACATGTACTACATTAATCTTTGCGGCGATAGAGAGGCAGAGGCAGAGGCAGAGGCAGCGCTAGAGCTCCCTAGCACTCTAAGAAATTCCTACAGAGGCAATAAACTACACAAGCTGCAGCTCTACAACTAGAGCTTTAATGCTAAAACAATTAAATTAAAGATATTAAGTAGCAGTATTAGGCAGTGAAAGGAACAGGCGCAACGTGTAACAAGGTAGGCACAGTTAACCACGTAGCCTTCTCTCGCCTATAGAGGTTTAGGCTAGACTAGAGACAACTGCTAGTGCTAGTGCTAACTCTAGCATTATCTATATATATATTATACTATGCAAGAATACTTAGCTTAAGTATTCCTATGCGTACCTTTTAGTATAGTGGGGAAAGTCGCATAGTATTAGCTTGGCAGGCAGGGCGTCTACCTTATTACACAACGCTAGAGACTGCAAGGTGCAAAGGGGAGGATGTAAGAGGTATTAAGTAGGAAAAACAGGTTACAGAGAGGGAATGCAGGATAGGGGGGTAACAAGAGAGAGTAAACCTTAGGGTTAGAGGCAGAGGTACAGAGGCTAAAAAGCCTATATACCCTGTGCTAAGCCCTTAAAGTACTTAGAGGTTAGATAGCTGTAACATAACTGTGACAAAGGAAGACTATTATAAGGGCAGGAACGCGTTAAGAGCTAGAGCTAGCTATTATTTACTTTTTTAGCTATATTAGTATGTTAGAGATTAGCATTAGCTGTATTAGTGTGTTAGAGATTAGCATTAGCTATATTAGTGTGTTAGTAATTATGTAAAGCTATGTAAGACACTAGAGACATAAGGAACTGCATTAAATATATTGCTAGAGGAGTCCTTTACAGGAGTCTATATATATGCAAAATAATTATGTGGGTCTTAGCAACAGACTGTGCTAAGATGTATACAACTATAGTGCTAACACATCTAACTATTATGTAACAACACATCTAACTATTGTGCAACTATAGTAACAATACATCTAAGTGTCACCACTGCAAACAGATTAGTTACATGCTATAGTTAAATGTTATTATTATACATCTATTACCTGTCTAATACTACTTTGCTAAGCATTATGCTGTAACTATTCTTTAACCTAGATAACCTACTTTAATACGCTAACTATTACTATTGCGTAAGAAGAGCACAGGGACCTACTGTCGCGCACATAGGCCTAGTGTTGCGCCTGTGTTTTAGACAAGCAGCCTAAGACACTTAGCGCCTAAGCTCTCTATAAGCCTCTTATAGTTAATAGACTTGCTTCTTATTGCTCTCTAATTAGTAGTTGTGACAATTACTCTAAGCAAGCTTTGCTTTTACAGATCATTTATGAACTGTCGTAGTATTTTATCCTAAGATGTAAAGCATATCCTACTCTGCCTGGTCACAAGGAATGCTCTGCTGAACTTTTGTAAGCTTGCAACAGCTTACAACAGCTTACAGACATGTTGTAACTGTCTTGCTGAATGGAACTTAATTGCTAGCATGTTCCTAACCCTTGCAATTTTTTGGTAAGACTAAAGCGACTTACAACAATGGAGTATAGCAAGGAAGAATATGCGTTCCAACTGGGATATTGTCGTGAATATATCCATCGACGGTGCTTTCAAGATAGAAAGTCTCACCGGGATCACATTAGAAGACGATATGTCTACATGGTATGGAATATTTTTGACGATTGTTTACATTGTGAGAGTATATAACGACCACGACCCTATCGTCGGTGTTAGACGGTGTAGTTATGTGAAATTTTTTTTTTTTTTTTTTTTTTTTGGAAATTTCCGGGTTAAGAGATTGATCCCTGAAGTCGGATATCTAAAAATAGCTCGCAATAGACACGACTCACGTCTCGTCTACCTGCTCTATCAGCCACAGACACCGCCCATTCTATGGGCTCAAAGAACCCCACTCCGCAGAGCCACTGCCCCTCTTTGTGGAGATTCTAACGGTAAAAGTTTCCTCACCCGAACTTTCGCGCGTTGTGCATTGGAAATATTGATTTTGTTATTATATATATTGAGTTACTGACAAAATTAAACAATTAGTAGTCCGATATGGTCTAGGTACGTCGATTAAGATCTCGACGAGTGTACATTATCTAATGCATCAGCAGTGGCTAGGATTTGCCGCTCTCAACGAGAGTTTCGTCACTCCTGTAGTGCCGGCAAGGCCCGGGTTCGATTCCCGGTGTCGGAAATATTCTTTTTGCTATTTTTCAAGGTTCAGTAACATCCCGAGACAAATGAGGGGCACTTCAAGATAGCCGGAGGGGTTCTCGCGCACCGGAACAAAAATCACTGTGGGCATACAAAATAGCATACGAATTATAGTACAGTGTTTACCGTAGCAGTTGCCATTGAATACCCATATTTTGAAGAGTCTTAGCAGCAGAAGACTTAGCAGCTTATTTTTAGCACCCTTCTCTGCCTCTACAACTTTTTAGGACTCCTTGGCTTCCAATCTGTGAACTATCTCTACCACCACATCTGCAATTGCAAAACGTTGATTTGGGTTAACTGAAACACGCGTTTTGGCTTGCGTAGAGCCAGTGCTCTCTACATAATATTGTAACTGTTTTTGTGCAGTCTCTAGCTTTGCTGCCCTTGTATTTGCTACTAAGAGCACCTTGCCTGCTTTTTAGAGTAGTAATTAGGTTGTACGCAAGAGCTTTTGAAAGCGCCAGAGGTGCTGCTGCGCGCAGTATATATTGGAAAGCCCTTCTAGGGTTATCAAGTAGGCAGAAAGCGTGCCATTACAGGCAAGATCTGAAGACGCTTTGTTGCTTGTGTTACCCTTAATGCTGCCCATCATCGCATGGAGTACGAGGAGATTGCTCGACTTGAAGATGTACAGACCGGCAGCAAAACCCTGGTTGCAGTGTTCAATAGAGAGTCATATGAGCGTTGCGTGGCGACTGCGAACCCTCTGCTCACGGAAGCGCAGAAACAGGTGCGCCTGGCATGGGCAACCAAGAACTTCAACTAGAAGCTAGAGTAGTAGGCTCGCATTATCTGGACAGACAAGTTTTGGCCATCTATCAACTAGAAGAGAAGTATGAGCAGGCTTGCTGTGTTCCAAAGTTCAAACCCACTCTTCTTAGACCATCCACAGAAGCATCTTAATGTTTAGTAAAAGATTATTCGTATGATTAAAAAGGAATGGGGGCGGTTGACAGGTAAAGTAAACAGAGGAAAGGTACTTCCTTAGTTATACCATTTCATAGACTAGGTGGCATAACACTCAGAGAGCCGTTCGAGGCATACTATTCGGATGGAAGACTGTGCTTCTCCACATACTGCTAAACTTTCTAAAAAGCTCCATGATACCTATGGTACGGAATATATAAACTGGTCAGCTAACTCTCCTGATCTAAATTGAACTGAGAATGTATAGCAGATGTTAAAACAGATGGTGCCTAAGAAGTCTTCGCGTTCCCTTCGAGAACTACAGCAATGTGTCATAGTACACACGAAGTTGGACTTGGTATATAGAGTAAAGCCATAGAAGACATACCAATAATTGTTGTAGCTAATTTTATCTAATTTTATCTAGTTTAGTAATGTCTATAGCTCGAGTTTTAAATAGTCGCGAAGCGCCTAGTTTGTAGCCTGCTTAGCAAGAGATAAATTAGTACGCTTTGTTCGGCGCCCATTAGGCACATTGAATTACGCAAGATGTAGCCTAACTATACGTAGTAGAAAGAAAAGTTACTCGTTCTTCATGTTAGAAAGGCTCTGCAGAAGCTACGTAGATGTTAATAGGATCTATGGGTGCTAACATATCCAGCACCCGCTCCCAGTGATGCAACCATCCACCCTGTCCCCTCACCACCCCCTCCTGAAGCCTTCTAAAAACCTTTGGGGTTCTCCAAGCCATGATTGCACGGGTTCCATCACCACATAAAGACAAGAACGCTAGTCGACCCGACTCTCCAAGATCAAAAGTCGTTGATGCTGGGAGATGTTGAATGTTCCAACGCGGGTTAGGGCTGTTTTCATCATCCTTCCGGAGGGTCTGCGGAACCTGAGCACTCTCATTAATTGACATTGCCGTCTCTAAGACACCTAAACTCTTTGGGCGTTTCGACATCCCTGGGTTGTGAGTAGATCGACACAAAGATTGCCATCGCTCGTGTTTAAACTCGAGGCAATCAGGAGTGATAACTCCTACCGCGCAAGACTCCACTGTGTCTTTCAGCAACCCTGCCCATGCTTGGTCCCCCTTCGAGAATGTTGCGGTCCAGGTTTCGCGGCTGTTAGGACTGAACAACGCTGTAAAGTCGTGATTTGTTTGAGCTCCTGTTTCGTTCAATGCTTCGAGGCTACGAACAACCGCGAATGCTAGTGGTTGGCGCCATTCCGGTCTCGTAAGATATAGGTGTCTGAATTCAGTAACTCCAGATGCATCTTCTGAGTTGAGAGCATTGAAGTAGCTCTCCTTGCATTGCTCAGACGGCCAGTCCAGAAGCATGCCCTCGAGGTAATTACGCATTGTCCAGGAGCCTAGGATGCGACCAAGTCGTCGCCTTCTCGCATTTCTCGTGCAGAGGCTTACTTCTACTCCATACCATCCTGACAAAACCTTGGGGTCTCTACGATATGGCTCTCGACTCCACGCGGTAAGTATGACCTCTTTGAGAGTCGACCCCTTTCTCAGCTTCCATTGGAGCTGGCCACCAATTTGCACTCCAGGGGGAGTGATTACCGCTGTTGCATTGCTAGAATCAAAGCACATTTTTGGTCTCTCAGTTCCCAAAATGCCGAGGCACCTTTGTTCCCTCAGAGAAGTGGCGTATGCATCAGGCTCTAGAGGACAACTTAGGTTGACGTAGAATATCGTATTCGCGCCGATTAGCAGCTTTGCCTTTTCCGAATGCAGAGGGAAAGATGGTGTGTTCTCGACTGATGACCTTTTCTGGACCAAATCGGTCTCATAATTACTCCAATGGGCGAATATCTCGCCATCCAAAAGTCTAGGATCGGTTGGTTCCCTAGCCCAAGGGAAAATGGATCCAGTTCCAACGTTAAACCGGTTTATACGTCCTCCCTCATGAACCGCCCAGACTGGTCCCCATATGTCGCTGAAGATTTCCATGGTAGTAAGGAGGTACAATGGCGTATTAGATCGCTGCAGGCCTAGATCGACTTCTTCAAATACCCAGACTTGTTCGTGGTGAAAGTAGGCATCTAGGCACTGTAAATGGCGCGGCCGCAAGATTAGAGATTCAGCAATGCCAATCTCCGAAGCATCTTCAAGGCTGAGATGGAGATTCTTCGTCCTTAAATCCTCGAAATGAGCTCCAGAGTAAGAGATGATGGCTATGTCAAGGAACTTGACAATAACCGTTGCTGCTAACTGGAGCGCTGTGGTCTTACTTTCAGAGCTTAGCTTCCGTACTTGCTCTGCTATTTGATAAAATCGTACGTTCCGAAGGAAGACAAGGCATATTGACAAGTCTGTGAGTTCTCGAAGTTCCTCCAGTTCACTGATCGAGATCCACACCAGTTCCGCCACTGATCCTCGATCCTTTCGGGCTACTACGGCGCTAATGCCTTGGCTGCAGTATCCGATCTCGCGCATTTTCATAACGCTTTGGGACATATTACTCATCAGCTCCCGGCAACGGGGAAGCTCCAATACCTTGACATCCTTGACGTCGCGGAAGGATGAAGAAGCAATGATTGACCGCTCCATCATTGCTAATTTGGTGTTCCATTTGCTGGGATTGACAAGGCGCTCGTCGTCCGAAAACCCAGCAAAAGTGTCCATGGGACCTTGGTCAATGCTAGCGGCTGTTGAAACATCCTGAACTGGGGAAGAAGAAGCCTCTCGTTCATCAGATTTTGCAGAGGGCTTTTCAGCCGCCAAAGATTCGTCCTCATGAGTGTATCTGGATCGCGGTGTAATAGTGGCTTCGTTTGAATATAGTCCTTCCATGAGAATAGCCTGTCTTCCATTGCTCGGCCTACTCTCCTGAATAGAGTGGTCGTTATCAGGCTCAACCCTACAAATCCATACTTTTCCGGATCCGACACCGACACCGACCGTCTTCCCTGACACTGCTAAGCATGACGGCCGATACTCAGATGGTAGCCACACTAGGTTCTCTAAATTATATGTTATCCATACACCATGTAAGCTCAGAGCCAGACCTTGATACTGTGGGTTATAAGGATCCGAAATGGGTTGGGGTGTATTTGAACCTGATAGAGCACTAATATTGATGATGCCAATTTCAGTGTGAAGATATGGGCCCCTGATGTCAAATGAGATCCGGTCGAGCACTTTGCCAACCTTAAGTGTCTTCAGGCACTCTCCACTGCTCACATCCCAGATCTTGACCGTGTTGTCTTCCGACGCCGACGCGAGCCGCGCCGAATCGTAGGAGAAGGCTACCGACCTAACGGTACCGTGATGCCCCTCAAGCGTGTGGAGGCACTCGCCACTGCTCGTATCCCAGATATTGACGGTATGGTCATGCGACCCCAATACCAGCCGGGTAGAGTCGTGGGAGAAGGCCACTG